ATTTCACCATAAAATAATGAAAGAGAATGTGATAATAAAATAATAATGTAAAATGATACAACCATACTGCAGAAAAATGTAGATTGAATATGCAATCCTACCACCCAAACACAATCAGGGTTGTTAATATCACATGTATTTATTTCATTTTATCTTATCATTATTTTTAGATTTTATTTTCCACATTTTCCTGTGGATCTGGCACAGGAGAGGCAGACTGCATGCAGGTGCATTGTGTATTAAACAAAATTTGGACCTTGTCCCCCTCCCGCTCCTTTCTTCATCAGCATTTTTTTGTACTTTTGCAGAAGACTTCAACACGCTGAATCTTTTCTTCATCTTTTCACGTAAATATCCTTAGATAGTGTTCTTACCTAATTACCTTTTTTATCTTATCATTATTTTTAGATTTTATTTTCCACATTTTCCTGTGGATCTGGCACAGGAGAGGCAGACTGCATGCAGGTGCATTGTGTATTAAACAAAATTTGGACCTTGTCCCCCTCCCGCTCCTTTCTTCATCAGCATTTTTTTGTACTTTTGCAGAAGACTTCAACACGCTGAATCTTTTCTTCATCTTTTCACGTAAATATCCTTAGATAGTGTTCTTACCTAATTACCTTTTCAATTGTACTCTTCAAAAAAAAAAAAAAAAAAAAAAAACGACTAATGTTTTGATCGCCAAAGAGCTATGAAAACCAGCATGAGCACGTTTGAAGGCGTACTCAGTGCCAAACAGACAAACTTGGATGGTTTGATTTTTTTAAATAAATGTCAGAAATAACTCACGCACACAAAGTGAAATGTTGATTATAACCTTTGACGCAAGAAATGCCTTTTCTTCACTTAGACTTGGGATTCATCCAGAGAATTATACCCTGCGGATAAGCAGAGATGCAGGCATCTGATTTTTACCAACTAAATAGATTATTCAAATGAAATATGTATACTTTCACAAGTCTTTGTTAAGTCACCCTTCCATCCCCTCTGCCTTAACCCCGCCGGCATATCTGCCTCATAGGGCCCTAAGCAGGTTGGAAACTGAGCGAGGCCTTTCCTAGATATCGATTCTCTGAAGGGTTTTAGGAATTAGAGTATTATCTCTTCTCCGCCTTTTTAGCTAAAATCAAGGGTAGGAATTGGACTACCGATCAGATGAATGGGGCTTTTATTTGGTATTTTACAGATCATCGCTTAAGAAAGTTGAGTTCTGTTTTTCGAGGTCCCCTTCAGCACTGGCGAGCTTCATGCGGGGACTTTTGCTCGGGACGTAGGACAGTCCTGGCAAGACGAAGGCGTGGAAGACCCAGAGATCTGGGCAGCTTCTTCCCAGCGAGCGCAGAGGAGGCCCGGATTTGAGCTCAAGTCATAAGCCCTCTTTGCGGCTGCGGCAACACCCAGACTAAGAGCGCAGTCGTTGGTTCCAAGGTGGCTTTTAGAAACCGGGCAGGACCGAACCAAAAGGAAAGAAGAGGGAGGAAGCAGGCAAAGGAGAGATCTGTAGGTCTCAGCCTTAGAAAAAGACAGATCAGGGTAGACGTCTGTTTGCAGCCCGAGTTCCCCGCGGACTTTTTCCTGGAGAGAAACTCCCGGAGTAATTTGCAGCATGCGAGCCTGAGGCTTCCGTGCCAGAGCTCCGAAAAAACCCTTAGAAACCGAAGCTCCGGGAAGGACCGGGAGTGTTCAGGGGGAGGTGAGGCCTCCAAAGACCGCCGCGCTGGGAAAGGAAAGCGACCCCGGGGCCGCTTGAACGTTCACTCCTGCTCCCTTCGCCGCCGGCCGGTGTCTGGCTGCCGTCTGCCTAGAGCGGCCGCGCGCGCCGGGCGCCTCCTCGACTCCAGGCGGCGTCACGCGCAGCCCGACCTTCCCCGAGCCCTCAGAGCCTCCCGAGGGGGCAGAAGGCCGGTTTGCGTTTGCACAGAACTTCGGAGGGCTCCAAAGAGATGCGGAGTGCCCGCCGGCGTTTTGGGGTCGACACGGAGAGGCCAGGAGGAGGAGGAAGTGTCTGGTAAAGGAGCACTCTGATCCATCCCGCGCGCCTCGCGGCCGACAGGGGGCGCCCTCTCACTGTGGAAGCCCAGCGGGGCGCTCCTGCGTGTCCCCGGATACTGGGGCCGGGGGCGGCGGCTCGCCTGGTCCCCTGCTTGTGGGGGTGGGTAGCGCCCCCCTCCTTCCGCGGACCTCCTCTTTTGGCTCCTGCTCGCTCCTTTTGCTCGTGGAATCATTTCTAGGTCCAAATTTTCAACCAGGAGCAAAACCAGAAAGGGGAGTGGGCACGCACATAAGCTGACGAACACTCGCACACACAGCGCACGCACAGACTAGATCAACCAGGCTATTCTTCTGCGTTCTCAATTCCAGACGTACCAGAAAGCTGCCTGTTAGTCGTTTCGCAGATGTCTTTTTATGGCGTTTCTTTCCTACCGAATATGAGAAGCGTCCCGTGGGAAGGAGGAGGGGATCGACGGTGCGTTTGCCGGGGACGGGGCCTGCGTATCTGCCCTGGCCTGTGCAGAAAGTTTGGGAAAATCGCTTCTTTTTCTGAGCTCCAGTGCGGACCCCTCTTTCCCAAGCCCTTCAGAGAGTTCTGAAGTTGCCCTCCCCCATGCTCTGAGTGGGACCCGGTGGGAAATGCTGGGGACCTGGCCCCTCTGGCTCCGCTGCACGTATCTCCATTCTCAGTCCGTGCGCTTACACAGCATCGCGCACCTCCCGGTGCACCGGGCCTGCCTGTCCCTCCTGGGGCCCCCAGCGCTGCGGGGTACGATGCGCAGGCTTCGGAGGAGATGCAGTCTTGGCTCTGGAGGAGACCGCCCTGACACTCGCTCAGTGGGCTTAGTACTGCGCTCGCTATGAATTGTCCAAACCATCAGTGTTTCAGCAGCAAAGGGCGCTGCCAGCGGCTGTATCTTGTGTCCAAAACGATGCGGACCCGAGAGGCCTGAGGTTGGGGGAGATGGTTCCCCTGTATCCACTGCTCCCTCCCGGCTCTCTTCCCAGCGTCTCTCACGCAGGCCTTTCGCCTGCAATGCTCAGCTCTGTGCCTGCCGCCTCGCCTCTGCCTTCTGCCACCGCCACCCCCAATTCTGGACAGGTGGGCCGGACGCCTACTCTTATTTTTGTCTGTCTCTGAGGGGAAGGGTGCAGGGCTGGATCCCCAGGCCCAGCCAGGTTCTCAGAACCAAGGAGGAGCTTCCATATCCAAACACCTGTGATACCCAGCCCCCACCCCCAAAATATGGGCTCACTGAGGTCCCTGTGGCTAGCCCAAGGCAGAGGACAATTTTTGAACCCAGGAGCTGGAGGGGAAATAAAAGTTACACGGTTGCTGGAGTTTCTAAATTGTATAAAACTGCCCCTCTGGAAAGGTAGGACAGAGACCCTCCTGAAGCCATTGCATAGGCCCCATTATTGATCCTTTATTCCTCTCTCCGCTCCCGCCCCCTACCCCCACTCCCGACCAACTCCTGCCCTGTTTGTTTTAGTTACGAAATGCTGTGGGCACCTCGGTTGTGACTGAAAAGTAACCTTGGAACAGGCCCGCCTTAATGTCAGAGACAAATCACAGCCTCCCAACCGTCGACTGCGGCTAGCGGGGTCGCGTTCAGCCGGCACCGGCCGCCCCCGGTCTGTCGCAGGAGACCGGGCTCCGAGGGGGCAGAGAGCGGAGGTGGCGGGACCCTGCGCGCCTTTCGGGGCCGCTCCGGCTTCTGACTGTAGCGGGGAGGGGCCTGCTAGGAGCAGCGGCGGGCGAGATAAAGGTGTGTACACAGTTTTTCTAAATACGACAGCGCTTTGCAAATTGGCTCTGTCACCGGCTTGTTGTTTTGACAGGGAATGAGCAGAGAGTGAAGAAACCCGGGATAAAAAAACCCGGCTTTAATAAGGCTCCGCGGGGCATGGAGGCCGGACGCGCCCTCGGACAGACGCACCGGGCGGCCAGCGCCATGGGACCGGGCAGAGAGGCCGGAGCCCTGATTCGCTCCTGGGGGGGACCTCCTCCCAGGCCCCTTCTCCCACGGGGGACTTCCCTTGGCCATGGGAGGACAGGGAACTCAGCCAGGGCGCCCGCTCTCCAGGCCGGCCCGCTCCCCTGTCCCGGGCGCGCAGTGCGGGACGCGGAGGGGCAGGTGCGGGACGCAGGCCGCGGCTCCCTGTCACCTAGGTGTGAGCTGATTATTCAAATGCGCTGCCCCGGGTCTGGGGATTGGAGGCCCGCGCCAGCGCGCCGCGCTATATCACCAGCCGCCCACGTCACTGCGGCACTTGTCCGCTCCGCGCTCCACACCTCCTCCTCCTCCCCCAAACCCCCGCCCCCGGGCGCCGCGGGTGGCGCCGCTCGGGGCAGCTCGACACTGCCAAACTCAGCTCCTCCCAGCGGCTCGGGAGCTC